AATAATAATAATAATAATAATAATAATAATAATAATAATAATAATATATACACATTATAATAACAGTTTGATTATATCAAAGTTCCATTGCTTAATAACATTTAATACCAGCATTAATAATAGAATAAAAAAATCAATATTTAAGATATTATGCAAATAATATATACACTTGAGTCAAAGAATATGTTACTTTGATATATGTATATTAAAATTCTCCATCAATACATATTTGGAACACTATACATCATTATTGTATTTAAAAAAAATATATTATTTAATCTACAATTTCATGTGCATTAAGCAATGAAAATAAAATAGTCTTCACATACTCATTCCCATACACTCATTAAAATTATTAAACAATTTAAACTTTGAAAATAAAACCAAATACAATAACATGCATTTCATTTTTTTATACAAAAATTATTAGCAAAAAAGATTTTGTCTACAAAGATTGTAGACAAAAATAATAATAGCATTTCTTTCATCATATCAAAAAAATTATAATTTATATTATATAACATATATATAATTAATTTGAAGTAATTAATCTGTATCCTATAAATGATCGAAAATTTTGACATGTATGCATGTTGATAATAAAAATATTAATTTTTAAATATAAAACATAAAATAGTTTAAAATATGTGCATGTGATATAAAAATATTTTATACGAAGCAAGTTTCTATAAAACTGCATATTAATACCACACGGACATTATTATTTCATCGTTGCTTTATGTATGTAATAGTAAATAGCCTATGATCTACAATATTCGTTTCTAAAGGAAGACAACGTTTTCCATCAAAATTATAGTATGTAAGTAATTATTTTTTAACTTAAATATATCTTTGACCTAGTTATATTTCAAATTTTAACTTTATTGTAAATTTGAAAAAAATTGTGTAAAAATAGTAAAACATTACCATGAAATTGGAAAATTTTGTTACTTTTACTTAAGACTATTATTGTCACATATTATTCATTTGCAAAAATTTACGAATGGAAGTCTTAATATTTCATAGAATTTCAACGTATTTTTACATAAAAATCTTACATTAATTTTTTAATTGTGATAATATATAAAAGTATAAAAGGATTTATTAATAATATTTTCTCTTATGGAATGATATCAATTACTTCTTTAAATGTGGTCAGTGTGCTAAGCTGTTCTCAGATTAAATTAATTGTGTACAAATTATAATAAGTAACATATCTCTTTTGTCTTTTTCTTTTATTTCATCTTTTCTTTTTTACAGAAATACTAATGAATGTACAATAAAAATATTTGTTTGAAAATTACTTACGACTTGCATAACTATTGAAACTAAATTTGATTTAATTGCATTGCATTGTGTTCATTTACTGCATTTATTTACTATAATGGATGAAAAATTGAATATACTTAGCACAATATCCATATAATACATAAACATTGTTTCTATATGTACAGTAATAGATATTATTAAAAAAAAAAACTATGAAAAACTTTATTCAATTAATATAAAATATCAGCATAATTTATTAAGAAATGCATACATCAAAACAATATTTTGAATTCTACTATGCAACAAATTTGTGCTCTTGCCTTGAAGCTGGGGACGGATGCTACATAAAAGATACTTTCAAATAGAATCTATTGCATTTTAAGCATGATTTTAAATTCTCTTTAATGAATTGTAGCACACTGATAATTATGATACTGTATATTTATGTAGATATTTTGCAATTTTTGATTTACATATAAATTTTCTGAAGGACTTGTACTCGTGGCATAATTATACAAATCTTTTTAATAACTGAAATTGTCCTATTAATGCAAATGCACCTTATATACAATTAGTGACAATTATAATTATAATAATATTAATTATAATAATAATAATGATAAGAAAGAAATTTCATATAAAAATATACAAATAAAAGTATATATATATAAATCTAAAGCTATCAAAATTTAACATTTTCTAGTGTTTTTCTTCTCAAAATATACAAAAGAAATATTTCGTTTATAGTCATTTTATCCCTTAATTATGATTATATCCCATTTAAATAAGCTACATTCAGCAGAAATGTGTAAAAATTTTATATAATACTAATACTCTATATCAGATATCGTTCAAAATGTAATGATATAATTTTTATTTCAACTTAAATCATGTAAAAGGAAACTATAAAAATAGTATCCTTAGATTAAAAATATTAACATTCTGGAGATAATGAAGATATTATAAATGAAAGGATTATAATTAACAAGAATTATTATTTTTTTATTAAATTAAAATATATCTATTTACAAGAAATTTATTTAAATTTTATATAAATATTTTAATATGAAAAAACAAAATTTATAAAACAACAAAAATTAGTACGTAAAATGAAATCATTACTTTTTGAAAGATATACTTATTAACAATGACATTTATAGTGACAGTGTTAGTTTCATTGGCCCTGGCACTTTAATCCTATAATCACTGCAATCTGTTTGTTTCAGACTAGAATTTTTTAGGTGATATATGTAGTATAGCTAAATTGCAAATTTATAAGAATTTACTTCAACTCATTTATGATATTGGGTGATATTTACACATTAGCTAACATATAATCTGAAATAATACGATTATAATTCGAGGAAGCCTGCTACTTTTTTTTTTAGATAAAAGATTAAATATATTTCGTCAAATTGATGTAAAAAATTAAATATTGTTTTGCTTGTATTTATTTCATATATCTTTAATCATCTCATTATATAATCATTCTATACTTAAAATTTCGTTTATTTAAAAAAATAAAAAGATTTGAAATATTCAACAGTTTTGTGATTATATGGAACAAAGTTATTAATATGTAATTTTTTAAATGTATCTTGTCACACTATTTTATTTAGGATAAAAATTATTATTCATAGTTTGCTGCCTCATTATGTGATGTAAAATATCACAAGTATTTTATCATGTTACTTAGCACCATTTCAAGTTATATTAAACTTATTTCATGTTAAATAGGTACATTTAATACTTTATTAAAATGTTATTTCTTGAAACTAAATAATATTAACGTTTTTATAGTAAAGTTATAAAATTATGCAAGAGAAAATTAAATATATTGGCACTTGAGTTATTTAATGAACTTAAAAATAATTAGTACGTTGTAAATGCGAGGCAGCTTTTCAACAAAAATATAAAATGCATAGTCTTCACTGATTTAGTAATTTAAGTACAAATATATTCCTATATTTTTGAAATGCAGTTTAAGGAAATATATCAAAATGATATATTAATTTTTAAGATGTGTTGGACATGTTTTAAAATAAATCTCTATATACGTATATATCAGGTATTCATTATTAAAATATGTCATAGATTTACTTTAATTAAGTAATGAACTAATAATTTTTTAGTAAAAATAGAAAAATTTAGAAAACGTATATCTTAAAAGTAACAGGAAAGTACTAAATAAAGTACTTATAATAAAATAAGATAAACTGTCATAAATCAAAAAAATAAGGACTTACGTTTTTAAGTAAGGAATGATATATGAAAAATTTTTCTCATTAAAATTAAATAAATACTATTACCACATTAGCGAAAGAAATTAAAAATTCCGCTACTAAACTAAATAAATATAAAAATTATATAATAATTATGAACTATTATTCCACGCTATTTGTAATGGAAAATGAAATTGAAATAGCAGCATTTTACATGAAAAAACATACTGTAGAATTTATGTTGATTAATCTGGGGTGTTGATTGTAAACGTTGAAGATGCAAGAGGTTGAACTTGTTCCAAAATTTGTCCCATTGTTTGCAACAACTTTGCTTGTTTCTCTTCTAAGGCAACAACCTGTTTTGTGTAATTTTAAATTAAAAATTAAAAATTTAAATTTTAATATAAATAGTGTATATATATACAATTATAAATTAATATATTTTAATATATGCGAAAAATATTTGATAACGTTAATTTTTTTTACTATACTCACCCTTTCTAATAGTTGATTGTAAAGTGCAAATGGAACATAAGTAGGAGGAGTTCCGGGAGTAGATGAGACTTGTTCAAAATGTGGAGATGTGTCACATTTCTGACCTTTATCTTTCTGTTTACTTTCTTCACTTTCCGTTTCTAATTTATTAATACAATCGGCAACATTTGTCGTTGTTAATACTCTATATTAAAATTTTGGATTTACATTTTATATATTGTTCATTAACATAAGACACATAAATAAATTTAATATAATATTACCGTGAACTAGGACGTTCTTTCTTTTCTTCAGATTTATCAGTACGATCTACTGATACAATTTTTCTTCTTTCCAATTGGTTTAATTTTAATTCCTCTACCTATAAATAATAATTTTGTCATAAAATATGTTATACGCGTATCTATGGATGAAATATGCTATATTGAATTACCCAAGGTGCTTTTCTTCTTGCTTTTGCAGCCAATCCTTCAGGTTCTTCATCTCGTAATTGTTCTAATATTGTGTCTGCATTGCCATTTGATAAATTATCTTCCTGTTACAAATAGAATATATATATTTTTTTAATCTTAGATATTATTCATATATTATTCATTAGATATATTTTGATTATGCTAAAATGAAATCAAAACTACTAACAGATATTGTATTGCTTGTAATAACGTGGCGTCTTAATCGTTGTGACGAAGGTGGTCGTCGGTTGGGTGCTTTAACTCGAGAAGCTGTTAAATGCGAAAGGGGTGCTCCTTCTCCTCGCTCCACACCATCCAATTCTTCACCTAGAGCTATATTGGTATTTCCATTACCATTATTAGATCCCATATCACCTACAAGACGTTTTAAATTCGATGGAATAGGATGTCCACTTATACTTTTCCTTTCTGCACTACTTCCTCCAACGCCTGAAGAAGTTGTTGCAGAAGGTGCTGCTGTTGATATGGTTTTCTTAGTTGTATCTGCAACAAAAGTATAGTAATTTCAACTGTAATATGGTAAATAATTTTATAGTTTTAAATTTTACATAATTTTTGTTAAAAATTAGAAAAACAATAAAAAATAAACCAATTAAAAAAATACCTGCATGTACGTCTTTTACATCCAAACTTTTTTTAGTATGTATTTTTCCATTTTTCTTTATTAGATGAGAATATTTTACAGATTTCACAGGTGGTTTAAGTTTCTGTTCATGATCTTGCTGATCAGGTGGAATATTTAATACTTCAACAAAATTATCAGGAAACAAACCTACTTGACCATTTAATTCTCCTATCCACCAACCCTAGAAGTATTTCATATTCATCATACAAATATTCTTAAATTGTTTGTGAGAAACCAATAATATTCGATTTAGGTAACTTGTACCTTGTCAGATGCATTCGTAGATAGAAGAGTTATTATATCTCCTTCATTTAATGTCAATTCATCAATATTAGCAGCTTCATATGGAAAAAGTACTTTACATAGTTTCTTGCTCTCTTGATCTTTGTGTTTATCAGATTCTTCATAAACTGGAGGAGAAACAAAATTTGATGGAAAAACACCAATTCTGCCTTTAAGTCTACCTCTCCACCATCCCTCTTCTACTTCACCCAAAAATTCTATAGAATCTTGGGGTATTAAAGTTAATTCATCTTTATTACATGGTTCATAATTAAAAAGCACTTTACAAAATCTTTTTTTAGATCCTCCATTTTTTAGGGAAACATCTTCAGATTTAGCACTACTAGTTCCTTCACTTCCTCCACTTCCTGTACTTCCGACAGTTCCACTTGATAGGGGTTCTAATACCTATATTTGATTGTAATTATGTTTGTTAATATATATAAACTTTGCGCTAACATTTCTTTTGCATTGGAAAATATTTTCAAGCAAATCTTATACTGAAAACATTGTTGTTAAAAAAAAGAATTAAAAAGAATTAAAAGTTACCTTGACAAAATTATCAGGAAACATGCCACGTTTATCTCTTAAAGTACCTTCCCACCAGCCACCTAACATTACTTTAATTTCAGTAATGATGTCTCCTTTCTTTAAAGTTAATTCATCAGGTTCTTGTGCTTCATAGTTATATTCTACAATTGCCTCCATTTTTCCTTTTTTTTATTATTATTCTAACAGTAGCATGAATTTTCTAACGCATGAATATCACAACCTTGTATCTGCAAGAAATACACACCAATTTACACTGAAGACACCAAGAATATGTACAGATTTACATATAGATGTATAAACAGAGCGCACGAATGACATATAAATGACAGGACACGAATCCTCGAACGAGATTACTGTTTCTCGAGTAAAAATTTGACATGTCAATTTATTTACGTGGGCAGTTCAGTACGAGATCTTCTTATAGCAAGTTCTTGTCGCAAACGAACAGATTACTCGTTATGAAAAAAAAACAGAGTGAACACAGAACGTAGCATACGTATAAGTTAAGACAAATTGCACGTCTGCAAAAGTCATTTGTCTCTGATGCGTCCTCCACCTTTCATATCACTGCACATATTTATTATGTTCATTGTACTACAGTGTCTAAGTGATGCGTCGATGTAAACTGAGAATTTAGGCGTATCCCATATTCGGTTAACAGCTCGATATATCTGTCATCGCGGCCATCTTGGACTCCAAGCTCAAGTGAACTTCAAGATGCAATTTGTGCGTAAGGTGCGCATGTTAACCTATCGGTGACTCAAAGAACGCGCCAAACGTTTCATGATTCATTTTCGCTGTATGTGTGAAGCACGCCGACGGATACCACACCGGGAGATTTTCAAGATTGTATGAACATGTTGATGATTTGTGAAAAAATCGCTGTTTATTAAAGTATGATTTCACGATCGTTGTTTCATATGTACGTACACGTGTATTTACTACTGATCTACGTATTTCACCTTTTGCAAATGTAGGTTATCTAATGACGTTTATCGCATTTCACGCGAATATTCAAGCTCGTTTAAAAGAGAACGTTCGTTTTATCGTTTATTTCCAAGCGGCTGATTCATACTAATCGGTTACCACTTATAATAAAGATCGTCACGTATCGGATATGCGCAAAGCATACAAAGTTTCGTGTGTAGCGTTTTAAGCCACATTTAACGAGGTCATTTTATAAAACGTCTCGTAGTAACACTATCTCATATAACAGATAAAACAAATTTGATTTGATCGTGCAAGCCAAAGCTTACCGTGGAAACGAATTTCAAATTGAAATATTGGATGCAATATTTAATAATTGCAGTTGAGGAAATTCTTAAGTGAGAATGCATCTTTATTTATAATCGAATTAGTAATTATAAAATTACATAATTGCATTTGTAAACTCGAAAATTTATGAAATAAACATGTATTCAATATCATCAATTCAACGTATAAAATATTCTTATCGGTAATAATAAAGCGATTAATGATAAAGAGAACCGTAATAAGCAGTGTTACTAAACTGTACTTTTAGTAAATGAACGAAATATTTTTTAAAAGCAGTTTTTCAGTTTCGCGGAATTTGCGTTCATATTTGAGTTAAAATTCTTCAAATATCCAATTACTAAGCAAAATCTTTATGATAAATATTATGGAGATCTTAAGACTTTCATAATGAACATGAGTTAATAAATTAATATTTGTAGTTAGACAATTTAATATTAGACATTGGAATATCGTACAAACTACTTTCGTAATTTAGTCGTATAATAAACATCGACGGGCATTTATATGTTTTTGAAAAA